TTAATTTAATAAATTATTATAAATTAATTTAATTATGATTAAATTAAATTATTAAATAAAAAAATATTTAAATTTTAATTAGGTGAATAATTAATTTATTATTATATAATATTATCGACGGATATATCCGTCGGTAATTAATTGTTAATTTGTAAATAATTACTAATTTATCGATTAATTTACTGATGGATATATCCGTTGGTAATTAATTGTTAATTTATCGACGAATTTACCGACTGATATATTCGTTGATAACTAATTATTATTTTACCGACAGATATATCTATCGGTAAGACCAAATTCTATATCCGTCGGTAATTTCTATCGGTAATAACTCATTTTCTCGATGGCTACAAATCCGTCAGTAAAAATTCGTCAGAAATTTATGATTTTCTTGTAGTGATTTAAAAACACATGTCATTAAGAATATAACTAGCAAATTTTTTTAAGATTATTTTTCTGTTGTATAATCTATGTTTATTAGGTGACTTTGTGATTTACATTAAAAAATTTATAATAATTTTATTAATATGAATTATTTATATTTGTGTTCAGAGTTATCAAAATTGACTATTCAACCTATTTGATTTAGTCCAATACTTATATTAAGTCAACAGAAAATGGAAAAAATTTAATTTGATTGAATTTAAAAAATATATACATCCACATATTTATGTTAAAATAATTAATTTTTATTTAAGATAAGATGATATAATATATAAAATATAAAAGAATATATAAATTTAATATTAAAATATGACTTAAAAACTTATTTTCATTGTCATAATTTATTTTAATAATTTTTTAATTTAAAATAATAATTCATCTTAATTATTAAATCTTAAAATAAGTAATTTTAGAAATTTATTATAATATTTACTATTAAAACAAATGAATCCCTTATTAAATTAATTTATAATATATATATATATATATATATATATATATTAATAAAATAATATTATTTTTTAAATAATTATTATTTTATAAAACAAATTTGTTCATAAACCTACGTGCTAGTTTAATCTAAGTCATGTAGGTTATAACTTAAATGAGTTAGTCAAAATAAGTATAATTTAATTTAGACTCTTATTTCTTGCACTTCCATACCTTAAGTCAAATATCTAAAATATCATTTTCATAATTTTGTTTTTTATCCTAACTTCTTCTATTTGTATACAATTTCTATACTTCCATCTCTCAGCAACTCCATCCTTTGACTATTTGATGTTTTTGTGTTATAGTCTCCATTAAAGATCCTTTTTAACAATTAAGGATAAATAATCGCTAATATTATGTATAAATTATATGTTCCTGTACTCAAATTGCACAAACAAACTCAAATTGCTCATATGAAACAATGTCGCGAAAATAAGGTTGAATTTTGAATAAGCTAATTCGGAAATACATTTCAAATTGGGTATTCCAGATTGTGTCTTCAGAAAGATCAATATGGAAATGTATTCTAAATTGGGTGTTCCAGAACGTATTTTCAAAAAGACCAATCCAAAAATGCATTCCGGATTGACTTTTCTAGAAACATATTTCAGAATGGGTGTTCCAGAATACATTTCCAAAAAGGTCTTTTTAAAAATGCATTCCAGATTGAATGTTCCAGAATCTTGAAAAGTCTTTCTGAAAATACATTCGGATTGGATGTTCCGGAATATGTTTATGAAGAGACTTTTCTAGAAACTCATTCCAAAATAGATATTCCAGAATATCTTTCTGAAACAACCTTTTCAAAAACACATTCCAAATTGAGTTTTCTGGAATGAGTTTCCTCCCACGTTATTCCGAAAACACATTTCCGATTGGTTTTATCAAAAATATATTAAACTTATGTAACTTATGTGATTTTGTATCTCGTCTACATCATTAACCTATTACCTAGAACTATTTTGAAATATTTGTCTCTACATAAGGCTCTTTATAAAAATTATGATGATTTTTATCGACCAAAGGTTTTTTTTTTTTCCTTATATTTTGTCATTACTTATTTGTATATAGAACAAAATTTGATTGAAGAGCCCACGTGTTTTTCTCTTAGCTTGAAAACAGGTACTAAAGGATATGTATAGTTTAATACTCGTATTAGAGAATTATTTTCATAAAAAAATTATGATTTTTCATAAGTATTCTTTTTTTTATTATTATTCTAACTCAAAAATACAAGTGATAAAATTAATAATAGTTCTCTATATTAAAAAAATCATTCCTTTAACCTTTGAATATTTATATCATAGATAATTATAAATCACCTTCACCTTTTGAGATAGACTTTGAATATATCATAGATAACTATAATCCTCTTAATATATTACATTCCCCTGAACTCTTGTCATCTCCAACATCAAAACAATAAGAAGGTGTCTAGGATGTTTAAAGGACTTTTACTGCAATATCATAACTAATGCATCTTCTGAAAGTGTTTATCCAATTTCTTTTGTTTTGTCTAATTAATGTTTAACATATCTTTTGCTCTTGGACTTGCCTTTCCATGTTGAGTCAATGAAGTACAATTAGACAACTTTGAAAGAATGTTATTCAAGTTAAGTTATTAACATTAATGCAAAATCAAATCTTGATTGTCATATGTTCACCATAAGAAAGGTTTCAAATTTTTTTCTAGATCAAATACAAGACATAATGACAATAGAGAGACATAAAGATTCTTGGGTAAATTGATCAAACAGGTGTAATTTGCTATATTTATTTCCAAAAAATGGATAAATTTTTAAAATTTTTTTGGATATGAATAGATCATATTTTAATATACAACTTCACTGTAAATAATTTGTACATGGAAAGACGACTTTTGGTTGAAGTTGTACACGAATAACTTTTATGTGATATTTTGTTTTTAAGTCATGTTCTAATAAACAACTTTAGTACATATTTTTTTAAACTGAAATCGTGAATTGATGGACGATTTTAGTTCAATTTCTTTTATACTATAAAGTTGTTAATTAATTGACAATTTTAATTCTATTTTTTATATTAAATTGTCCATTGATTAGCCACTTTAGTTTAAATATTTTTAAATTAAATTTTCATTTCTAAAGTTTTATTTAATATTTAAAAATTAATAAAATTAATAATTAATTATTATTTAGACATCTATAATATTAAATAATTTTTAAATGTATTAAATTGTTAAAAAGAAAATATGGATATGTTAATGAGGAAAATATGCATCTATTATATAAGAAAATGAAATTTTACATTTTCATTGTCGAAATAGACAATTACCATGATAATGACCTTTATTATGACAAAATGAATATTTTTTTTCTTATTTAGAACAAGTTCATCAATCTCGTTGTGAATATGATTTGTTGTTGGTCTTCCTAATTGTTTTCGTTCCTAAACTTAGATTAGGAACAAATTTTAAACTTAAATAAGGAGACCAATAATTTTCGTTTTGAAGTAGATGAAACTACATCTCATAAGTTGTAAATAGTTTGTAGCTTATACACTGGATCAACATATGTGTCAATGTGTAAGTGGCAATATAAAGATATAGAACAAAGAATCGGAGACATTGAAATTTTCCACAATTACACCACGAATCATTTAATTTTACTCGTATAGTTTACAAATGTCCACGACGTTAAGAATTTGATACCTCATGTACTTTTTTAATGTGTATTTGTTTTTTCTACTTAACATATTACTATTTTCTTTTCAACCATTTAATATATTTAAAAATTATTTAATATTATTAATGTCTAAATAATAATTTATTTTTTATTTTAATAAATATTAAAATCAAATTTTTACTATATAAAAATAAAAAAATTTAATTTAAAATATAAGAAGTAAAGTAGTCAATAAATGACTTCAATATAAAAACAAAAAATTAACTAAAATAGTCAATTCAAGTATTAAAAAAAATAACTAAAATACACGATTTCTTCATCTGAAATTATATTTAAATGTGTTGACAATTCAAGGACTTGATGTTGCACTTG